CCCCCAGTTGAGCAGTGCACAGCCTTGCTGCCATCTGTGGCCTTTCTCCCAGGGCCATAGGCTTCCCAGAGTTCTCATCTGGGGTGGGGATAAGAGGAGAAGCATCCTTGGGTAATTGACCTCAACTGGCCTGAGGCTATCTATGCTCTTGAGGGGAGATGGCCTGTGGGTTCAGGATTCATCCTGTCTCTTCTACCCAAGGCCCCATCCAGCTGGTACCTGGAGGGCAGAGGCAGTGGAAGTTGGCTAGCAGGTCCAGGCAGGTGCTGCCTGGGTGGCAGGGCTGGGACAGGCATTCATTGTGATTGGCCTCGCAGCGGGAACCCGTGTAGCCAGGGGGACAGAGGCAGTTGAAGGAGCCAGGTGTGTTGAGGCAGGAGCCGCCGTGTTCACAGGGGCCGGAGCCTTGCTGGGCTGGGAGGAGAGAAGAGCCTGGTCCACAGGGGCCGGGGGTGGGATGGCCACGAGGCCAGCCTTTGTAGGGGGTCCTGGCCCCTGTGAGGTAGATGACACCATCTCAGGAAGGGCTGTGTCTTTAAGATGGAGAAAGACTAAGTGGGGCCTGGAGGGCTGAGCTTTGGTGAGACCATATAAGGAAGAGATGCCAAATCTGGACAAATTCAGGGAAAAGAGTTGTTCATATTTTTAATTCAGAAAACAGTTTGCCTGTCTCCCGTGCAGAGGCTGCCTGTCTGCTGTGGGGGTGCCTCACCCATCTGGCACTCATCCAGGTCCTGGTGGCAGGTGGGCCCTGCGTAGCCAGGCTGACAGAGGCAGAGAGTGGCGCCCGTCAGGGGGTTGGTGCTGCACTGGGCTTCCCCGTGGCACGGCTGGCTCAGACACATGTCCTCCATATGACACAGGAGGCCTGCAGGATGGGGCAGGGGGGGCTCTCAGGGGCCTCTTGAAGCTCCGGCTCCCCTACTGCCCCTCTCACAGGCCCTCTCCTCCTCCCACCCCCTGGACCCTCTGCACCACACCTGTGCGGCCAGGTGGGCAGAGGCAGGAGAAGGAGCCCACACGGTCGATGCAGGTGGATCCTGGGGCACAGGTGGCGGCGGCGCAGTCGTCCAGGTTCTCCTCGCAGCCTGTGCCCCCCCAGCCGCTCACACACACGCAGTGGAAGCCACCGGCTGAGTTCTGGCAGGTGCCCCCGTTTCTGCAGCGAGGGGCACGCCAGGGTTCACATTCGTCCACATCTTCAGAGCAATCCCAACCTGCAAGGAAGGCCGGACGGAGACAAGGGCTGGAGCTGGGCCCTGTGGGAAGGGAAGCCAGGGGCCGACCATCTGGGCCATTGGTGCCATGAACTTGCCTTTAACGACTCACCTGTCCAGGCCTCTGGGCAGAGGCAGGTGTAGGTGCCCAGGCCATCCTGGCAGGTGCCCCCATTCTGACACTGGTGCTTGACACAGTCATCTAGATTCACCTCGCAGCCTGGGCCTGTGAGACCTGATAGGGTCATCGGGTCAGTTGAGGGAGGGAGACAACTTGCCTGCCCAGAGAGGGGGCCACAGGAAGGCCCCTTGAGGACACACCTGGGGGGCAGAGGCAGAAGTGGAAGGCAGAGTCTCTCTCTGGAACCAGCTGGCAGGCGCCCCCATTGGGACAACCTGTTGGGGGACAGGGTCCTGGCCAGAGCTCGCAGCGGGAATCTTTCCGCCCAGCTGGGCAGAGACACTGGAAGGACCCCAGGGTGTTGTGGCAGGTGCCGCCCTCGGGGCAGGGCCCCGGGTCCAGAAAGCACTCATTGATGTCGCGCTCACAGGCGTGGCCCTCGAAGCCAGGTGGGCAGCGGCACTGGATCTGGGGGTAGGTGGTCAGACACTCCCCTCCGTTCATGCAGGGGTTGGCGGAGCAGAAGTCCCGAAACTGGCACTTCTCACCTGTGGCAGAGGACAGGGTGGCGGTAGCACTGCTCATCTCCCAGCGCCTCCAGGACTGGCTCTCACTCCGCAGCTCCCATGTCCCCATTTCTTTCCCTTCCCCCTCATACCTTATTTGCCCTGTCCCATCACCCTTGCCTCAGTTTTGCCTGTTTCTTGGGAGGATTATATCTGCAGGGGTTATATTTTCTAAGCTACGAGTAAGACATGCAGTTGCTGGTGGTGTGTTGCAATCGGCCCCGCCTGGGAATTGCTGGGGTCCCTCAGTGGTGGCCTTGTGGGAGGTGGAGACTCTGAACCGTGCTGCTCCACAGCTGGTTGCCTGGCCCTGGGCATCCTCTGGTCTCTCATCCTGACTTCCTAATCTCTGGGTAGTGTAATGACCGGGCAGCGATAAGGGATTCCCTTCACAGCTGCTAGCACCAATGGCCATGCGGCAGTGGTGGCTGCCACCACTCATGGCCCCCCATGCTGTGTGCCAGCTGCGGGCTAAGGGAGCACCTCCTGAACACCACTCGTCCTCCTCGCAACTGCCAACTGAGGTGGGCAGGTCAGCTGACAGCTGGACCAGAGAGCTCAAACATCTGCTGCCAGGTCACAGGCCTAGTCAGTGGCAGAGCTGGCGTTGGACCCAGAGAAGGGGCTGCCCCAGAGCCTCGACTCTGAAGCCTGGCAAATTGCCAGTGCCCATCCTTCTTGTTACATGTGCTGGTCTCTCACACCCAGTCTCAGGCCCAGTTTCCTCAGAACTACCTGGGCAGCTTAAACATCTCCATGCCCTGGGTCCACCCCCCACTACATCTTTCCGGGGTGGGACACTGGTATTTTTAATAAAGTCCAGGTAATTGCTGTGCCTAGCCAAGGTTGAGAAGCCTTGCCTCTAGCCCACCTGACACTGAGGTCCTCACATTCCAGGGACTTTCTTACCCACCTGGCTATTGGCTGCCTGGTCCAGCCCCTCCATCCCGATCTGGTCCTGAGGTCCCTTCCTCTCCAGGGCCTCATGGTTCTGTCCTTGAACCCTGACCATTCCTCAGGGTAGCACACCCTCCTCATCACGTGTCCTGCTGTCTTATCCCAGGGCTGCACTCTTCTCCTGGGATGGACACCCCAGGGTCAGACCCTTCCCACCCCCATCTCTCCCTTCCCTAAGGTTTTCCTAGTGATCTGATGGGCACCTCTCAGTCAGAGGACACATTAACCCTATAGCTACTGGGTAGAGGGGAGGTTGAGGGGGCTGGGAGAGGGCTCAGGGTGCTACACTAAGAGGACTATGGCAGTAGCTATTTACCAACTGGCTTGGAAATATGTCAACATTTTAACAGTCAGTACAACTAAGCTGGTGAATGTCAATCTTGGGTAAATGTGTCACCAAAATTTGGTTTGTGGATTCTCAAGGCCTCTGTCCTCACAAGGCTCAGTCATCTTTCCTACTCCCCAGCCCAACCCACTGCTCCTGCCTGTCCCCTCCTCCTACCCCCATCAGCCCTCACCTGTCCACCCAGGTAAACAGGAACACTGCGGGAGTCCTGAGGCCTGGATGTGGCAGTGGCCCATTTTGGAACAGAAGGAAGAACAGGGGTCCTTGAGCTGGGCCTGACACCTCTCACCAGTGAAGCCCGAGGGGCAGGTGCAGAGGAAGGTGGGGGTCAAGGGAGAGGGGGGGCTAGGGGAGACCCCGGGGACAGGAAGCAGAGCTTGGCAACTGCCCCCATTCTGGCAGAGCTGGGCATCCTGGCAGGGGTCAGGAAACTGGCATGTCTCACCCAGGAAGCCAGGAGCACACCTGGGTGGGTGGGGAGAAGAAAACCCACATCACTGGCCGCTCTTGGCCTACGGTCCCACCTCCCTCGCTCCTTTTCCTTCATTTGTTTCCTCTAATCTCCTTCACCTCCTCCCTCCCTCTCCCTCCCCAGCTCTCCCTCCTCCTTTCCAGTGCCCCGCCACCCCACAGGCACACTCACTGACAGGTGCCTTGGCCCTGAGACAGGCTCAGGCAGGTGCCTCCGTTGGCACAGGGTTCTGAGAAATTCCCACAGGGCAGCCCTAGGGATGGAGACAAGGATAAGCTGGGAGCTCCAGGGGACCTGCCTGCATCAGCCAAACCACTATTAGCCTCCATACCCCTGTTCCTAGTCCCCAGCTGGCGCCCACCTCACCCTGTGAGGTCCTAGGCCTCTCAATAATCCCCACCCCTTTCCTGTTTTTTCTCTGGCCTCCCAAGTCCAGCCTGAGGCTCCATCCCTCGGAAGCAAGACAAGGATCAGGAGGGGGGTTGAGGGGACTCTTGGGAGGTGAATGGCTGAGACAGAGAAGGGATTTCCTCTCGGAAGGCCCAGCATTGAGCCAGAGGAGGGGGGTGAGCAGCTGGACCGGGAATGGGACTTGGTAGGCCCTTGACCTTTCCATGTCTCCATCTCCTGCTCCCCTCACATCTCTTTCCCTACCAGGTGGTCAATTTGTTCCTCTTCCCCTTTTAAAGGGGCCGGCTGTCCCCAAGTTCCAGGCGACTGGGTTCTCCCTGGGGGTGAGCACCCTCTCACCCATCCCCCAACAGTTTCCACCTGGCACCAGGCCCACAGCCTTGGTCTGTGCAGATCCAGCGGCAGAGTCTTCTCTCCCTTCAAGCTGTCCCCATCTAGGGGCAAGACTCTCCTTCGTCCAGTGTCACCTCAAGGCATGAGGCTGGGCTGTCTGCCCCCAACCCACCAGACACCTTCTAAGGAAGATGAGTGCCCTCCTCTTCCACCATGTGCCTCACCTCTGGCCTTCAGGGCCTCACCCCTGGTCCTTCTTGCCGAGCGAAGCAGCAGCAGCAGCAGCAACAGTGAAGGGGGCTGCATTCCAGAGCCCGGGCTGCGGAGCCCTCCCGGAGCCAGGAGCCACCTCTTCTCCACAGCCCCTTCTTCTTCCTCCCGGGCCTGCTTCAGGCCTCACGTCTGAGTTGTTTCCTGAGTCACACAATGTCCTGGACACCCAAGTGATGGGGAGAGGGAGGAGGGGCATTGAGGGGGATGAGGGAGGGGCCTTCCATCCCTGACAACCTCTAGGGGTTCGAATAGGATAGAGTGGCTGGAAGGTAGGTGATTGGGAGGGGAGGACTGGGTGGGTGGGGTCCCTGGGGACAGTCCCAGGCCTTCTGTTGATGTGGTCTCTCTTTTCTAGAATGGGAATTGCAAGGTGTCTGCCTGTGCCCAGGAGGGTCAGGACCTGGAAGCAGAGGTGGTGTGGGGTGGTGGGCACTCTCCTACTCCTCTGCCCAGGGGAGGATGCTTGCTTTTTGAGATCACTACAGATACTTCTCAGAGAATCTGCAACTTTGCATAACTTGATACTACTACACTTGGCAGAGGAAACTCAAGGGTCTTTTGGGCCTTACCTTGGCCCTTGCTGGGTCTTCTCTCTTTTTGGGGAATGGGAGAGATGCAAGCTGGTTTGGGGGGGATCTTGGCCTTTCTTGGGAAAGGAATGTATAAAATTGTCATCAATGATAAATGACGTCTTCTACACTCAGTTTTGTAGTCTGGATTATTCATAGCAAACACTGCGTTTGGGTCATTCCACTCCCCCCATGCCTCCCTCTCTCTACTGCAGAAGTCCCTGGGGTGCAAGGAATGCCAGTCATTGACTTTATTTATTTTTAAAATAAATATATTTTTATTGATTTTTTTATTTTTTATTTTTTTTTTAGAGCAAGAGGAAAGGGGAGGAGAGAGAGAGAGAAACAACAAAGTGAGAAAACATCTATCGATTGCCGCCTGCATGCCCCCTACTGGGGATTGTGCCCACAGCCCAGGGATGTGCCCTGAGTGGGAATCAAGGAATGGAACCGGCAACCTTTCGGTGCATGGGGCAGTGCTTGGCCAACTGAGCCACACTGGCCAGGGGCCAGTTATTGACTTTAAAATTGGACTAAATAAAATCACAAAAGAGAATTCCTTACCCTGACTCATCTTACTTTCTTGAGCAAACCCTGGACTTTGGAGTCACCATTCCTGGACTTCTTCTCCTAGCACAGGACTGAGAGTCAGGGTGGCTGCAGCTGTGGCAGCAGCTATGACAGCCAGCAGGAGGCGCCCTCCCTCAGCCTGGTGCGCCCTCAACCATTTCTTCTGCCGAGGAATGTACTTTGCCAGCACCATTAAAAAAAGCTTTTTATTTTGAAATAACTTAAAACTCACAGAAAAAGGGCAATAATACTAAAAATAATCCCAGGATACTCTTCACTCATATTCACTAGTTGATATTTGACCACATCTGCATTATCATTATTTCTCTAAATACACATTAACATTTTTTTCTCAACCATTTGAGAGTAGGTTACACATTAGATATCCCTCTACTGGTAAACACATCGGTGTGGATTTCTTAAGAATAACGACAGCCCAGCAGGGCGGGCTCAGCGGTTGAATGTAGACCTAAGATCCAGGAGATCGGGGTTCGATTCAGGTCAACGCCCTATCCCCAGCCGGGGAGGAGCAGGAGGCAGCCGATCAGTGACTCTCTCGTCATTGGTGTTTCTCTCTCTCTCTCTCTCCCTCTCCCTGAAATCAATAAAGACATATTTTAAAAAAGAAAAGAATAATGACATTCTCTTACATAACCATAGTACAACTATCAAAATCAAGAAGCTGTTAAAAAATGTTAATGTCAATGGTTGAAAGTCTTTTTATGTGTGTGTGTATATATATATAATTTTTAATCCTCACCTGAGGATATGTTCATTGATTCTAGAGAGAGGAAGAAAGAGAGAGAAACTTGATGTGAGGGCTCAGTTGCCTCCTGTACCTTCCCTGAGACTGAACCCAAAACCTAAGTATGTGCCCTGACTTGGAATCCAACCTGCAACCTTTTGGTGTACAGGATGACCCTCCAACCAACTGACCAACTGAGCCACCAGGCCAGGGCTGAAAGTCTGTTTATTTTTTATTTTATTATTATTCTGAAATAATGACATTTAAAAAAATATGTTTTTATTGATTTCAGAGAGAGGAAGAGAGAGAGATAGAAACATCAATGATGAGAGAGTCATTGATTGGCTGCCTCCTGCACACCCCCTACCTGGGACCTGACCTGGGCATGTGCCCTGACCTGGAATCGAACCTTGACCTTGTGGTTCATAGGTTGATGCTCAACCCCTGAGCCATGCCGGCCAGGTTATTTTTTTAATTTTTTAAAAATATATCTTTATTGATTTCAGAGAGAGGAAAGGAGAGGGGGAGAGAGAGATAGAAACATCAATGATGAGTCATTGATTGAGCCCACAACCCAGGCATGTGCCCTGACCAGGAACCCAACCCCGATCCCCTGGATCCCAGGCCGATGCTCAACTGCTGAGNTGAGTCATTGATTGAGCCCACAACCCAGGCATGTGCCCTGACCAGGAATCCAACCCCGATCCCCTGGATCNAACCCAACCCCGATCCCCTGGATCCCAGGCCGATGCTCAACTGCTGAGCCATGCCCTGCCAGGCTCAAATCAATATATTTTTAAAAAGAGTTTATTAGGGCATTGACAGAAGAAAAAAAAAAAAAGACTAGCAAGGCCTGGAGCATGGCCAGGTGGGAAAGACAACGTGTCCGTAATCCTGGAGTTTTGTGAGTGTTTTGATTCACCAGATGGGGAAGAGAGGTGTAAGCTGGTCTGAAACGATTCACACTAGCTACAGACAAAGGGGATGGAGAAGGTGAAGCGACGCCAGCTCTGGGACAGGCACAGAGTCAGCAAGGAAGAAGTGTCGGCTCCTGGATGAGCTGTGGCAGCAGATCGGGAAGTTCATGTGTAAATGAGAAGCAGAGACTCTTGGGTCTGATGGTGCCTGCGGTTTGCTCTTTTGGATAATCTTGGAAATGGCCACCTGGAAATTAATCCTAAATTCCAACAGATACACAGGAATGTGAGCAGTCTTCAGTCAGGGCTGGCCCACAGTTATTAGCAGGCTAACTGTTCTGTCTCTTTCTATTGCTCTCCGGCCACTGTAATTTTGATTTAGAACACCTCAGAATTTTTTTCTTCTCAAAACTTAGGTTGATACAATACTATTATCTAATCTACACTCCATATTGAAAATTTGCCAATTGCCCCATAATGCTTCTGATCATGATTTATAATGGTTTCTCTTGGCCCGGGACCCAGTCCAGGATCATGCATTCCATCTAGTCGCCCTGTCTTTTCAGTCTCCTTTAATATTAGTACAGTTTCTTAGACTTTGCCTTTCATCATATTGACATTTTTGAAGAATGCAGATCAGTTATTTTGTACTGTTCCTAAATTTAGGTATGCCTGAGGCTTCCTCAGTTTATGTGTTTTGATTTGTTTGTTAATCCGGAGAATATTTTTTCCATTGATTTTTTTTTTAGAGAGAGAGAGGGACATTGATGTGGGAGACACATTGGTTGGTTGCTTCTTGCATGTGCCCAACCAGACCCCAGAATCCACGTACGTGCCCTTGATCGGGAATCGACCCTTCGACCCTTAGGTGCACGGGCCAAAGCTTGCAGCCACTGGGCAACACCGGCCAGGCAGTTTATGTGCTTTTGGTGAGGAGTACCACAGAAGTGGTGTTGTGTCTTTCTCACACCAGGAGACACATGAGCCCATACATCACATGCTAATGGTTGGCTAGTATTCCATTGTTTGGTGAACCCTTGTTCATTGAAATACATTTCCTGTTGTAGGGCATTGGGTGGATCTCAGTCTTTAAAAATATCGTAAACTATGCAGCAATAATTATTCTTACACATACATGTTTGCATGGTTGTCTAATTATTTCCTTAGGCTAAATTCCTAGAATTGAAACCACTGAGTCAAGGGTTAAAGGATAGACTTATTTTTAAAGGCTTTGATACATAAGTGTTGCCAAGTCATCCTCCAGAAAGCAGTTCAGCTGCCGTCTGCGCATGCCCTTATCTGGCCAACCCTGAGAATTAGACTCCTTGCCACTTTGATAGGCAAAGTGGTATCTCATTGTTGTTTTAAATTGTGTTTTGTTGTAGGGTTAACATTATTTTCATCTGTTTAATGGTTATTCATGTTTCGAGAGTTGCCTGATCACGATTCTGTCCCGTTGTCCTATTGGTGTGGAATGGAACGAAACTTTTCCCATCTTGAAGCTGCTTTGGGGGATATTGATTTTAAGCTGTTTACTAAGAAACAAGACTCAGAAAAAACCTTTGACCCTCTCCCCTTTCCTACCTAAGAGATTACTGAAAGACCTGCTCCAGAAAGGGGATCTTAGAATGTCACCTTACCTAATCTGAATTGAGTATGATAAACAGAGGGCTTTGGACAGGCACCTGTTAGCTAGATTCCCCTCTGACCCATGGTTTCTGAGTCGCCTAGCAAGGATTTGCCTGTGTTCCACTCCTCAACTACCTGGGACCGTTCATTCTCACTTCTGAAATCTAAGACCCCATACCCTCCTTTCTCCTTTGTCCAAAAATGTCTTATATACACAGTGTTGCCTCCCTGTCTGGAATTTTCATGCCTATGTGAATTCCCCATGCCCATGTATTAAACCTTGATTTTCTCCTATTAATTGGTGTTTGTTAATTAGATTACTAGCTCAGCTAGAAGAAAGAACTTAGAAAGTGGGAAGGAAAGTGGTAAGTTTTTTTAGCGCCCACAGTGTCATTGTCATTCCCCATCATCCCTCTTAGTTGAAGAGACAGCTGTGGGTGTAGAGACCTGGGCAGAAGAAATCAGGTGTGAAAAGTCCCTGCCTCTGTACTGTGTGGTTTGCTGACTGGGGTGGACTTGGTGTTCATGAGAAGGGAAAGGAAGGAAAATAGGAGGAGACATTAGGCTTCTCATGGAAACATGAAATAACCTGAGTAACTAAACTGCATTTCTGCCATGTTCC